GTTGCCGGTCCCGGTCCGGTACAGGCGTGACACTGAGGGTTGCGATCCGTTGCCGGACACGGAAAAAGACAAAAAGGAAAAAAAAAAATAGAAAAAAAACAGGGTTTGATCTCTGTACCAGCCAGCCACCAAAAATAAAAGAAAATAAAGAAAAATAGATCAGTGAACATGATGGAGAACCCAGAAATAGACTCACACATGTAAGGTAAACTGATTTTTTTACAAAGGTGCAAAGGCAATCCAGTTCAAAATGGATAGTCTTTTCAACAATTGGTGCTAAAATAATTGGATAGCTGCATGTAAAAAAACATAAACTTTGACCCATACCTCAGACAATATACAAAAATTAAATGTAAATGGATCATAGGCCTTAATATAAATATATATTCTAGAGCAGCAACTGGGATGCAGATATTTGAGAAAGAGGTGGTACTTCAGCCTGGTGGTACTTCAGCCTGGTGGTACTTCTCAGACTAATAAATTTTCCAGGATCTTCCATAGTTTCACCACCATAAATTGAACAATATCAGGCCATTTTCATATTTGCCAGGAGGCAGTGGATTGTAGACCCAGTAAATAATGTAATGTTTTTAGAATTTATGTTCCTTCTAATTCCCAGATGAGAAAAAGAAAAAAAATCCACTAAAACAATAAACAAATACATGAATTGACTGACAGTTCACTGTATTACATTTTTTTCTATGAAACATACGACCTAGTGATGTATCTTTAGAATTTTAAGCAAAAGTTTTCCAGGTGGTAGCCTCAAGAAAACAAAGCCATATAGACATAAAAAAGAAAAGTCACCATTGCACCTCCTTGACTTTTCAGAGCTCCAGCGTTTGCCTGGGAAGTCAGAATGTCATGACTGGATTCTGCATTAGCTTTCCATTTATTTTACATCTTGAGAGCAGTCGCATCTCCTGGAGGTCAGCCAAGGCACGCACATGTGATGCCTTTAACCAACAGTGGGGGGAGCACCTGGGCCAGAAAAGAGAAGCTTTCAGGACTAAAGGGCTACCCCAGCCATCTTCATCTGTTTCTTCTTCCTTGCCCATCCTACTGTGTGTATTTTGGGTTGTTAGAGGGAATTTTCCGAGGAAGAATAGCTTGCTGAAGCGGGTGCTCCAAGGACACCGCCACCTGTCACATACACTTTTGGACATCCTTTGCTGGGTTCTGGGTAAATGGAACAGTGACGGCTTCCAGAAATGTGTGCTGAAAACATCTTTTCTTTAATAAACTCAGGTGCAAAACCAGCTCCGTGTTATTGTGGCATCGACACGTGCATGTTGCAATAGCTGTAACTTTAAAGCAAATTTCCAAGATGTTCAATGGCCTTTCGGGGAGAGAGAGCCAACTTTCTAGATAATAATTTCTGTGGCTGACAGGCAAATGAGAGCCTGTGGAGCCTGCCCTGACCCTAGCAGAGAATACAGGCAGCTGTAGCACTCATCTGGCATGCATGTCTGCCCAATAGCTTTGAATCACCTCCCTGCAACTAGCGAGTTTCCCACAATGTGAGTCTTCCCAGAAAAGAACGCAATCTTTTTTTTTAAAGAATGCACTGTGAACTTCCCTTGCAGCGAGGGTATGGACATGTGACTAATTCTCACCAATCAGATGCAGCCACGGTGAGACTCTCCTAAATAAGCTGTAGTGTAAGAACAGGCTGGAAGCAGGGATGATCATCTTCACACATCATCTTCAACAATGCCAAGGTCATGAACAGTACGCAAGGACAAAGAAATGTTGCAGTTACAGAACACTAAGATGTGACCACTAAATGCAAACATATTCTGGATGGAAACCCAAGTCTAAAAGGAACATTATGGGACAATGCGTGATACTTGACTATGGTCACTGGACTAAATGATATTATTGTATTAATATTACTTTCCTGATTTTAATAGCTGTGCTGTGGTATTATAGGAAAATAGCCTTCTTTTTAGGAAATACTGAAATGCTAAGGAGTAATAGAACATCAGGTCTTACTCTGGGGGGGGGGGCGCGGGGCACGAAAATGTTTTCTGGGCTTTGGCAGTGCCCTTACTGGGAAGAACAGGGCGAGAAACTAGGCTCGGGCCCTTTCTGTCTCTCCTTCGCCCCACGTGAAGCTTGTGAGCCTGTTCAATGGCTCTAACATGACAGGGGGCGTGGCCGCCGAGACGGCCTGTCAATGTTCACCCCGCCCGTGAGCGGCCCCAGGCCCCGCCCTGTCACGCCTGCGCAGTGCTGCTCTCGGCGCCAGGAGCCCGGGCAGTGGCAGTTGCACTTGGGCGTGAGCGGTGAGTGCGGCGTCGAGGCATCAGGGCAGGAGGAAGAGGAGGTGGCAGCGGCGATGACGAGGACGACGGAGCGGGCGCCGTCTGGCTCCGGTCGGGCGGG